ATAAGAATAGAATTCTTTATTGGCCAAGTGTGATTGGACACAAGGAATTTGTCTTGGTGTAAATGCTCTCAGTATACATAAAAAAAGATACATTCGTTAAGAATCAAAAATCATAACGTACAACACTTAATGATAGTCATAGGTTACAATAAGCAATTAAATCATACTAGGAAACAGTCAATATAAATTGTAAGGATACAAGCGACAAAGTTACAATCACAAGTGGGAGGGGATGGGTGATAAGGAGTGATGAGAAGATTAACAGTAATAGGAGTGCAGACTTCATAAATAGTTGAACAGTGTTGAGATTTATTTAGCGGAGTGATGACTTTCGGTGGGGGGACTGTTCTTGTGTCTAGTTGTTCTGGTGTGCAGTCTCTATGGCGTCATTTTGAGGGAAGGAGTTGAAACAGTTTATGTCCGGGATGTGAGGGGTCTGTAAATATTTTCACAGCCCTCTTTTTGACTCGTGCAGTATACAGGTCCTTGATTGAAGGCAGGTGGGTAGTAATTGTTTTTTCTGCAGTCCTAATTATTCTCTGAAGTCTGTGTCTGTCCTGTTGGGTTGCAGAACCAAACCAGACAGTTATAGAGGAGGAGATGATAGACTCAATAATTCCTTATCTACTGCTGAATAAAATTATTCTAAACATTTTATTGGGTTATACTTAAAAAGTTGTATTTTAAAACATGAATGATCTTTCTAAATTCCAATTATTTGATAGCTGCATGACAATAATCCATTTTGGATGAAAAGGGAGCAAACAATACCTTTATAAATAAATTTATAATTTATTTAAAAAGAAATGCATAATTACCACCCTCCATTCTAAATTATACTGTTTTTGCTTTGGAATGTTAAGATATTTTCACTCCTTTTTAAAAAAAATGTGTGGAGATTGTGGAAAATAGCATTGAAGGCAGATTGATATACAGTAGTTGTTCTCTGTGATCCATTCTAGCCACCCAATATGCTCTCTACGATTTTTGTATTTTGTTTTGTTTTTTTCCTGAAAAAGTAGACACACTTCTAAACAAAATAGTGGACTGTAGTACAACTAAAGATGAAAGTTTAAGTTTTTGTTAAACCAAAAGAAATCTACAAAGGTAACATCAGATAGTGCATGTAGTTTGGAAGGTATTAAAGAGTGATGCTGGTAGGCATATACTGTAGGCCCAACTAGCACTATAGGGTAGTCCTCAACTTATGACTGTATTAGAGCCAGCCAATTACAGCAATAAGTTGTGACATTTGTAAAGTGGGTGGTCACAAGTGATCTGATTTTTATGACCTTGTTTTGCAACAGTTGTCATAGTCATTAAGCAAACACAGTAGTCATGAAACAAACATGGTGGCCATTAAGTGAACCCATTATTTGTAATGGGCCATTTTTGCCCCATAGCAAACCGGAAGTAAACCAGAAGTAAACACCAGTTTTCAGCAAAACCCAGTAAATTCTGTAAATCATGGTCATAAGACCCTGAGCAGCTGCAAACAGATGTAAATGCAGGCCTGTTGCCAAGTGCCCAAAATGTGATCACATGACCATGGGAGCAGCTGGCTGTCAGAACTGGGTCATATGTAGCTTTTGGGATACAACGTAATTTTAAACAGTTGCTAAGTGACAGGTCACAAGTCATAAATTCTGTGAATTCTGTGAGTTCTTGACTTACAACAGTTTGCTTAGTGACCGTTCAAAGTTACGACAGCACTGAAGAAAGTGATTTATGATCATTTTTCACACTTATGACCATTGCAGCATCCCCATGGTCATGTGCTTTACATTTGGATGCTTGACAACTGACTCACATTTATGACGGTTTGCAGGGACAAACAAAGTCAATGGGGAAGCTAGATTCGCTTAATAACCATGCTAATTTAAGAACTGTCCTGATTCACTTAACAAATGTGCAAGAAAAGTTGTTAAATGGAGCAAAACTCACTTAAAGAATTTCTCACTTAGCAAGCTAAATTTTGGGCTCAACTGTGATCGTAAGTTGAGGACTACCTGTACAGCCTTTGCTTGCTTCCGTTTCTATTTCCTCTTGTCATATGCTGGAAAGGAGAGACCAGAGGTAGCAAGGAAAACTTGACCAAGGTGTTAGCATTCCAAGAAGTTCGTTATCATCAGCCATTCATTCGTGTCCAACCTTCTCCGTGCCTCTCTGCCTCACGCTGCCTCCTTTAGGTCTGCCACGGTTTTCCCAATGTCACCTTTTACAGCAGCATTCCAGAGGTATTCAGCAGGTTCTGACCAGTTCTGGAGAACTGGTTGTGGAAATTTTGAATAGTTCGGAGAACCGGCAAATGCCACCTCTGACTGGCCCTGCCCCCATCTATTCTCTGTCTCCCGAGTCCCAGCTGATCGGATGGCTCTTCTTTTGTTGCCCTGTACAGGAGAACAGAGTTGGAAAGCAGGTTAGTGAGGTGGGGAGGGAATGGGATTTTGGAGTGACCTTCCCCCAGGAATGGGGGAGGGAATGGAGATTTTATAGTATCCTTCTCCTGCTATGCCCACCAAGCCACGCCCACAGAAGCGGTAGTAAAAAAAATTGAATCTCACCACAGCGGTTCCCAACCTTTTCAGCTTGGTGAACTGGAGACAGCAATGGTGGCTTGGGTTGGGGGGGGGAAGAGTGGATGGTTTTGTGCGCATGCCGCTTTCATAAATGCAGGTAGGCAGGCAAGCACATGCTCTTCCATCACTTCCAGGGTCTAGTCCTGAAAAGGCTGTGGCCAGACACCGGGCCACAGACCGGGGGAGGGGCAGTTGCAGACCCCTGCTTTATAGTGTCCAGCCAATGGGTACTAGAGCGGCCTCTTCTCCTTTTTCTGCTGACCACTCCCAGTATGATTGATTTTTCAAGTGAGTCAGCTCGCATGACACGATCAAAGTATGACAGCTTCAAGTGATATTTTTGGTGAGGTTCACTCTAGGACTATTTTGTTTGTTGTTTTTGCAATCCAGAAATTCAAGGAAAAGTTTTTTTCCCTTTTTTTTTCAATCCTCCACTTTAGGTTAAAAATAAGACTGAGGCATGAAAGTAATGAAACTTCTAATGGAATATCTGTTATAATGAGAAGCACCTGTATGAATAAGGGAAGGGGACAGTTAAGAAACTGAAGGAGGCTCTGTATAGAAATGTATGTATAATTTTGCTAAGCTAGGCTCCATAACAATAAGAAAGAATGTGTGAGAGTTTGTGTATGTTTGTGTGTGCATCCAAACCTATTCTGTTATAACTTCCTGAGCAAATTACTGGTAACAGGCATGAGGGAGAAGAAATATCCATTGAACACACACTCTCTCACACACACACACACTCAGAGATTCAACCTGGAAATAAGGAGAACTTTTCTGACAGAGCAATCAACCAATGGAACTTGCCTTCAGAAGTTGTGGGAGCTTCATTACTGGAAGCTTTCAAGGAGACTGGACTGCCATGTCAAAAATGGTGTAGGGTCTGCTTGGGTAGGGGGTTGGACTAGATGATCTACAAAGTCCCTTCCAACTGTTAATCTGTATCTGTGTACAACCTGGCAATTGATAACCTTCTAATAATAGAAATCTTTTAACATGAAGCATTGCTAATACAATAACTACATGCTTGGAAATATGCACACCAGGAATCACTAAATTTGGCATTACTGTAATAAGCAGAGCTATTATGTGAGAGATCTAATTTCACATTCCTTCATGTTTTAGTTCAAACTTGTGCAATGTTCAGATCCATTCACTGGCAGTCATTCTCTCCCAGCTATCTACTTTGTAAGGTTAGCCGAAATATATAATGGCAGGGTGTGGAAATAAAAATACTGCCTTGTGTGTTTTAGAGAAAAAATGAAATATTCTAATTCTGTAAAGGTAATTAGTAGCCCATTTAACTGTGCAAAACACAACATTCTTCCATTTGTCTCCACTTAGGTGCCTTAAAGTGAATAATATGTGTCCTAATTTTTGCTGAGTGTATTTTGCTTAAGGTATTAAACATCCGGCTATTTTAAGGCACTTCTCCTTGATTGAAAGTCCTTAAGGCATTAACAACTCAGAACCTCTGCCAAGGTTTTAGAACGGGAGAGTCATAAAACCGTGCTAAAAACCTTTTTCAAATTGTGATCATATACAGTAGCACAAATACATGTCAATTGCAAAGAGGATGATATATTAAGGACACATTATTTCACAGGAAGGTTAATTTTTTTATATTCATATTCAGGTTTGCTAAAAGGAATTTCAATTAGCATTTTTAAGTGAATAGTCATTCTAAGTTGCACCATTGTCTCCGGACACGGAACCCGGAATTATTGTAGTTGAATTGTGAACAATGATTAAAAATGATTAATCATGATTAAAAATGATTAACGAATGGAGGAAAAGCATCCACATAAAGGATGGAAAAGCATCCATCCTAAACACGAAAGGGGTCACGACACACGCAAGGGAATTTGTATCATTCCGGGAAGAAAGAATGCAGGGTTGCAGCCAAGGGGCCCTTGTGGCTTGGTTGGAGAGATGCCTAAAAATTGAAATGTTGTTTCTCTCGCTACTTCTTAAATCGGTGAGGTCACCGTTCGGTCAGGAAATGAGTAACACCATTGCAACACCTGGTTGAGGGCCCGTCCCCCAAAGCCTCGCCATTTCTTTACGCCTAAAACCCCGCCGCCTTACGGGGGTCTTACTGCAGATGGCGGGGTACGGGGGAAAACACTGCTAAGGATCAGCGCCCGGGGATTCTCTGCCTGGCGCGCGGCGGACCCACCGACCGACCGCGTCACCTTCTCACCCCCGGGAACCTTCGGTGCCGGCTGCAGCCGGCAGGGGCGCCCACCCCGAGAAGGGTGGGGGGAGAGAGCTCTCCCGTCACTCGGCGGGCTCCTAGTGACTCAACGGACTGACGCCGCAGGAGGGCAGGAAAGAAGCCGGTCTTGTGAGACAGCGTCCCTTCCCCCCCTTCAGAGAGCCCGCGCGGGGGGGGGGAGAAAGAGAGAGAGGGGAGGCGGGCTGGTTTGAACGCGGCCGGGCGGTTGTGGCCGGCGTCCCCTTCGCTCGTGAGGGAGGGCGCAGCAAGACGCATGTCGTAGCAGCGCCCGCGCCGCCTGCCTGGGTGAAGACAGCGCGCGGGCGGGCGTGTTTTTCTTCCCTCTCTCTCTCTCTCTCTCTCTTCGCCCACCCGCCTCCTGCTTTTCCTCCCGCTCCTCCCCTGCGTTGCCTGGTCACAAGGGCCGAAGAAACGACGGTTGTGTAGCAATGGAGGAAGCGGCGGGGGGTTAAGCAGAGACAAGAAGACGCCCGGGGTGAGGGGGTGAGGGGGTGGGGTGGGGGGCGCTCCCCTTCGCCCTTGGCGGCGGGGGCTGCTTTCCCGCGCGCCTCCTTTCTTTGCCCGCCCCTGCCTCGCATGGCTTTCATGATGATGAAGAAGAAGAAGTTCAAATTCCGCGTGGAGCTGGAACTGGACGAGCTCTCCTCGGTGCCCTTCGTCAACGGGATCCTCTTCTGCAAGGTGCGGCTGCTGGACGGCGGGAGCTTCAGCGGAGAGTCCTCCAGGTACGAACCGCTCCGTTCGCCTGGCCAGGAAGGGGGCTGCCCAGAATCTGGCGGAGCCTCAGACACCTGTTAGCTTTCGCCAGCTCCGAGGAATGCAAAATCGGGGTTGGCTAAGGAGAAATAACAACAGTGTAGGCGAAGGCTGTTGCTGCGTTTTTTCTCGCTCGCTGCCAAGTTGCAAAATCGACCCCCCCCCCTACTACCCCCTAGTACCACTTGTAGACCGCGTAGGGAAACAAGCCCGCTATCTTAAGTCAAACCCTTCAAATCTTCTTTTCCCGGATCTGTTTACAGCCCCAGGGCTGACTTCACGGGAAAGCATCATCTGTCAGTGAAGTGAGTGGCTCTGACGCTACACAGAGCATCTTTTTTCTTCTTCTTCCTCTTCTCCACGTTTGGATAGGGAATTCATCTTCCTCCCAAGGGTTAAACTTCACCGTGGGGATTCCCAGAGGAGTGGTTGTGTGGCTTCTTGACAAATGAAGCTCTAGTTTACAGAAGCCATGATCACATCTGTATTTCTTCAGCGTAATTGCAAACAATTTCATACGTTATCCAAACAGGACAAACCTAAAAATAATTGCATTATCTCATTAATTCTCAGAATAAGTCCTCTGGTAGGTGTAAGACGTCTTATGAAATACAGTAGAATTTCTCCTGCTGGAAAGAGTTAAAAGGTGAAGTCCTTTACTCAAAGCTGATCTTTTTTTCCCCACCTATTTCTTTACCAAATCAAAATAAGAGAAAGTCTTTTGCCTTACTTGTTTTATGCCATTGGTAGTGAAGAGCAGTTATCATACCAAGAGGTCAACAAAATCGCTGTTTAGCATTAATTGACTTCAGCAATATACTATACAACTCTGATTCTGAAATCTCTTACTGAATATCGATATAAGGTGCACATTATTAGATTCCTAGGTGGCATACAAATGATGTTTTAGAATTTTGAAACTAATAATAACAGACTTCAGATTTCCAAAATTCCTAATTTGATTTTTACAATTTCTAATACTAACACAAATATATCCAAAATACGTGGCTATAGATGGCAGTCCATAAAATCACCAGGAGTTGAGTTCATCTTGACTCTTTCCATTTTAATTAATAGAGTAATGGTGTTAGGGAATTCATAGTATGTTAGGTTTAAGAGCTTGACTCCTAATCATTTCGGTAACACTTTCATCTATATTGGCAGCAAAACAGAAGTGGTTTGACATTTCATTTTTCCTGAATATTTTTTTCAACTTCCCAAGTTAGCATTCTATTCAGCTATTTCCTGGAATTTCCATCCAATTTTGCTTAGTTTTTTTTAATTTGGCAAAGTGTTGCTAATTACATGGGTACTTTAGTATGTGCTCACCCTCTGTTTGTGAAACAGAGGGTTCTATTATATTTTATATGCATAAATACTTCCTATTTCATTAGTATGGGCATGAGTGTCAATTGCATGGCATTTTATTGTTGCAATATATGAAAATGCACAATGTTTCTTGAGCCAGTTACATTTAATACCTAGTAGCTGTGATATATGAAATGCAGCACAGTAAATCTAAGCAGAAAAATTTTAATTGTCCCTTCACACACACACACACACACACACACACACACACACACACAATTTAAAACTTTCTGCTTGGACTTTCTGTTTATATATATTTATAAACTCATTTCTTTGAATTCATAAAGTGGAATGAAAAATGGAGTGCCAGTATATATAACCACTCCCTTCCCCAATTGTCCCCAATGAAGAAAAATAACAAAGGATAAAATACTAATGTTGCTAGCCAATGTTGCTGTGGCCTTACCTTTTTTACCTTCCAAGTTCCTTTGACACAATAGCTATATTTTATACCAGTGGTTCCCAAGTTTTACAGGTTGGGGACCCAGCCGCGGGGAAGAGGACAACCGACCCGCTGCTTGTGCAAGTCGAGCTGCATGCATGCATGACAGCCCGCCACTCACATAAGTCAAGCTGCATGCCTACCACCCAGCTGCTCACACCGCCCAGTTCTGAACAGGCCAAGGACTGGTAGTGGACCATGGCCCGGGGGTTGGGGACCCCTGTTTTACACAATCACACACCTACAGCAATATCACAGGAACTGAAGAGATGAGGCAAACCAAGCAATAGTGCACACTGCTTGACATTTCCTCTGTTTAAAAATGCAATTTCCCTGTTGGTGGATAGAATGCCATTGAATTGACATTTATTGCAATGGTATCAACAATGGTGTGAACATTAACCCGTGATCAACAAAGAGATCACCTCGCCTTGCAATCAGGATTAGTTATTTCTTTTAGGCATCACAGAAGCATCACAGAAGAAGTTGAAAATTGTAACCTATGTCTGTAAAATATAGCATATGTCACATAACAGAATTTTCAGTTACTATGTTTGTTTGTTTTTTTTATTGCTGGGTAGAAATAAATAATCTGGATTCAACTCCTTACTTGGTTAAGCACCTGAGGGAGAAAAAAATAAATATTTGTATAGCATTTTGAACAGAAAACCAAAATTTTTATATTGTAATTATTTTTTAAAAAGTCAACATACTGTGCGATCTTAGAGTATAGTGTAACTTGGCCAGAGAGAATTCATATATGAAGCAAAATTCATATTAGTATTATTTTAGAAAATGTTATGAAATGTATTATTGGATTGCTTATTTATTGTTTCCAGATGTGAATTCATAAATGCATATAGTAATTCTGTTCTCATGGAAGAACAACACTGGCTTGGTTCTTGGTGATATTTACTGCCTTGGCCTTAAGGCAATATACCTTACTAGCTGCTAGATAGCAGTAATTATCAGCCCTTCAAAGTCGACCAGACTATAAAACCAATACCATCTAAATCACTACTACTTTTATTGTAAAGCTTTAGTAACAGAATCTTGCAGGTTTGAATGCACTTTATCCCCTTTTCTTCCCTTCATCTTCATGTGAACTAAGAATGGATTTGTCTGAAACAGTTACTTACCTTACATTCTTGGCCCAGGTGCTTTTTATTTGATCATCTGCATGGTAGTAGCTTTTCCTCCTGTTCCTCAAGGCCATTCCTCTTCCTCTACAATAGTAGAAGAGGAGTATCATCCATATACAGTATACCAGCTTGCAACCTTTCTGAATGGAGTGGGTTGGCCACTAGGTGACATAAGATGATGGACTCTATGGGCTGTTGATCTGATCCAGTAAGACTCTTGCACATTGATATATTCTTGTATAATTCCAGTGCATAGAAAGGCTTTGATAAATTAAAGATAAAATCTAACTCAATAGAAATTGGAACTGTTTCCAACTATAGAAAGCGACCAATCTAATATCTTACATTGATATATTTAACAAGTGTATATAAAATTTAAGGGTTAACTTACGTTAAAATGGCTTTTCTTTATGTAGCAACACTGATACCATTCCTACCATGTTTGTCCCAATATTTGTTTATTTTGTTTAACATTACATATTTCAGTGACAATATTAATTTCTTATCGTGGATAGTATTTGACTAAGGTGGGCATTTTCTCTGAATAGTTCTATTTTAATTCCTCACCTGTTAATTTTATTTATTTATTTTGCTGATCTCAGTCAAATTTGTTTCCAGAAATGAAATCAATTTTATATTCCCTTTTCCTTTCCTTTTTCACTACACAGTTAGAGAATAACAAAAAGATGTAGTAGATCCAGAAGGTTTTCATGTTTAATAGTAGGCCCCCAATTGGTTGAAGTTTTAGATTCAAATCTTGATCTAATACCAGCATTTTAATATTTATTGTTAATTTAATTTAAACCATTAATTATGATAACCATTTTATATATTTCATGCTTTTAGTTCTAGTCCTCACAATGTCACAAATGTATTGCTAGTATCTTAAAATGCCATGAAATATTGTTGTTTTATAGACTCTGATAAATAGGTTTCTATAACAGACAATTTAGTTTATCACTCTAAATATTGCTTTTAAAAATGTTCTGTTGTCATATTCCAGCCAAACTACAGATTTAAGTATATGTTTATCTCTTAATCAATATCAACTCATTCTGTGAGTGAGATGGGCATTCTCCAGATATGATCAATCAATCAATCAATGGAAGTATTTCTCAGCTCTAACTACATCATGTCTCAGATTTTTATCTTGATGAATTCTGTCAGCCTTGCATCAACTGCAGATTTGTAGTATTACTGCAAGCTGGTCTTTTCACAACAGAGTATATTTCAGTTAAAAACAGATGCTGGACTCAGATTGTCAAAAATTCTCTAGAGCAAGGAGAAATCTCGACATCTCCCATACATATTCTGGACACTGGCTTTTTGTGTGTGAATAGGTGGCAGAAGCTAACCCTCTTGAGGTCGCTTGCAAACAACTTGGATTCCACCAGACTCAGAGGCATTAATATAGACTTTTATGGACTTAATGTTCAACCAAACCTTATCTTTTGAATCACTCTGGAGTTTACTTTGTTTCCCTTTTACTGTTTGTTAAAGATCCATTAAGGGAAAAAAAATATAACTTGACATTTCTGTAAAAAAAATTTTTCCAGAATATACAGCAAAAGGGTGATTACCATATTGATTCTGGAAAATTTTAAATTGATTAAGAGCTCAAATTGACTTGATTTAAGACTTTGAAGCTGATTGAAAAGAGTACTTTCTTGTGGAAAAAATGTTGTTTATCCTTTATAGCAGATAAGATAAATATTGTTTATCTTTTGTAACAGATAAGATGACTTGGAAAGTTGGACACTAGAAGGTACCAGATGGCTACCTTAAAATAAATGTTTGATGAATGAGTGCTGGAAGTTTTGGAATTTAACTCCTTAGTTAAATCAGAAAGTGTTCTCTTTTTTAAAAATATTTTTATTGTACATTTTTCATTATTATTCATCACAGTTCCAATTTTATGACGTCAGTGTACTAGTTATATCAAGTCCTTTTTTACGTCATAGTATACATCGTAGTTATATATTATTCTCCTGGTCATACAGTATAATCTCTTTTGACT